AAATGATTGAATTAAGTCAATGATTTTCTTTTTATCGCTTGGAGCGCACGAAAGGGAATCCCTATAATGTTCAAAGAACATCGTGCGTTCCTAGGGAGGATAGGGACAGGAGGTAAGTATTGGAATTTTTTTTGAACTTTTGGAGATTATATGTTGTTGGGAATACTTTCACAGGCAATGATTATTTGTAACAGGCGTAGAAGAACTTGAAAGCTGCCCTGGAGAAGCCACGGAGTCTGTGTCTAGGAGGAGAATTTCATTTGACAGTGATATGTTTATCTATTTGGAATAAAAACTATGAATTAGTTTGATTTTTTATTTTTTTCCAAAAATCATTGATTCCACTAAAACTTCAACACTCTTTTGCATAGAAACCAGATGACATACCAAAAAGTATCATAGGACATGAATTGTAGATAATTTTTCCCTCTTGATTTTACTACTCGTTGATTTTTTGTGTGAACGGCTTCCTTTGCGAGTTGAAAGCTGAAAACCATTAAAAAACATAATTTTGTGTGCTCTTTTGGTATTTTCTGATATTTGCCGATGAAATTTTTGGTGGACAACTTCAGATTCGTGTTGAGCACACCAAGAAATAAAGAATAAGCCAATGAAAACAATTACACCAGAACTTTCCACCCTGAAATACCGTTTGATTAGACTATTACATGATGTTTTGTGTATAAGAAATATTTTAACAAGTTGGTTGCTCGAAAAGTCACAAATTAATAACTCTAATCTAATCATGGCTCCCTCCTTTTTTTTATCGCTTGTTGCGCACGAAAGGGAATTCCTATGATGTGGATATGGAGAGGAGGTAGATGAAATTTTTCTTGTACTTTTGGAGATTATGAGTTCTTGGAAATACTTCCCCAGGCAATTAATTCCAGAGTTTTCCCGTTCTATAGAGAAACGAGTTTTGATATAGTGCTGTTCGACATATTTCGAGGTTAACAACAAAAGGATGATGATAGCAGAGATTTCTGAAGACCATTTCCCATGAAAGTATCTCTAAAAGAGTGAAATGTCGTCGACCTCTCTACGGTGTTCCAATGATGTCAAAATGTTAGTGAGTGTGGCATCACTCACCAGGCGAATGGCTCTTCTCTGGATGGAATCTTAGAGCATCATAGTTTGTTTGAGTGCTCAACCCCATATGTGAGAACATTATTTTAGAACAGGTCGTATCTGTTTTTTGTAAATAATGAGAAGCTGGTGAGGTGTACAGTAGCTTTTCGCACGGAATAAAAATCCGGGTTTTTGTGTAGCAGCTTTCGCGATGGATCTAACATGATTATCTCATACTAGAGTATTGCTGATGCAGACACCAAGCATAGATATAGTTGACTTGGTGGGAATGTTGGTATCAGAGGTGTTCCCCGAGGCATATAACCTCCAGAAATTTAAGAAGAACACCAATTCCTACCTCATTTCCCTTGGTTCTCACGATGTTCTCTGAACATTACAGAATATCCCTTTTCGTGGGAACCAGAACATAAGAAAAAATCAGGCATACAACTAGGTTGTTGGTTCCCCAGGATGTGATTTTGACAAGATCTTCATTGACAGCAATGATCTGCCTTCGCCGTGAGTTCTTAGTTTCCTGGGAGAAATGGGAATTCTGGAAGAGAACGCAGTATCGAGAGTACTATCATTTGCAAAACTGTGGATAATGCAAGTGGTTGCTTCCAACAGATCATTGATATGAAGTAGGACAATGTCTGTGTCAATATTGATCCTTGTGGAACGCCGGAATTGATGGCAATGGTATCAGACGATTCACTGTCGTCCACCACCACGTGAATAGATCTGCCTGAAAGAAAACTCAATAAGAGTTGACTAGGACAAATAAAATATTTAATTTGGATATAGTTTTATTCAACGACAGGGCTCTAACAACTTTTCAGTAATTTGATTATAATTGGTGACTTGACAACCTTGCTTCATGAGTGGTAATGGAAGATTATCTGACAAATAATGAAACAGTATAAGATCTGACGTCGCCATATATCCGACGTATCAAAGAACATGGCCAGATGGCGGCCACGACAGCACGTTTGAAATGAGCTCTGGAATACATCAACTTCGAACAACGCATAGACATATTATTGTTGTTCCAAAATTGTTCTATCCGTCATTCGGTTGCTACCTTACGAGCAATCCTCAGAAGTTTTCGAGAGTCTTGTGCGAGCAAGGAATGACGGGGGCCTTACCTTTTAACGTGTGATCCCAAACACTTTCTTGGGCCATCAGAAACATTTGTGCAGTTGCGGGGAATTGAACTCACGACCGGCAAGCGAATGCGGATTAGAATACTGACACACTGTCCGCACGACTACCCGGCCCCTCTCACATTATTTACATCAAAAACGCGTAGAAGACTAATTTTGTCTTAGTTCTTGGCTGGTTCATAGGCGGCGCTAGCGAAACATACAAAAATACGGCCGATTTAGCTATATTCTCGGAATCTGCTCGAGTCCATATCTGCAAGTTGCTGAACTATCTACTAGGACTATCTTTTCTGAAGCAGGAAAATCACTAACTTTGATATCCTGAAAGCGTTTAAATAAACTTATTTTAATCCGGCCCTGAAATTCTTTCCTGCCTAAAAACATTTAGAAATAAACTTTGAATATATTCTGCATTACCGATCTCTACCTTCCGCTACAAAACAAAAAATAGTTCTCTTCATAGATACCGCCACCTACTGAAAAGAATTTTTGGCTTCATTGCTCTCATGAGGATGGTTCATATTGTTAGTGTAAATAATCAAGGATGTAATACAGGAAACGTTTAATGTTTTCTTATGATTCATATTAAGGGTGTTGCCTGTTCTTTAAGATCTATCATGGGGAAACTTGCAATGTTTGTTCGTTTGTCATATCTTGCAAATGAATTCTGATATATTTCTAGTCAATGTATAACCGAAAGGTTAAAATTGCTATGTATGGGGTTTTCATGGCTGGAGATGGGGATAGCGATGGAAATCTAGAAATGACACTAATTTTTCCGATAATTATTGTTCATCATGAAAATACGCTACTTTTTAAATACCCTAATTCAACCGATCATGTATTTCTTATAATAGCATATCTTCATGGTCGGGCTCACGAAACTAGCACCCTGTATATCAGATCAAGGAATACTTCTTCAGTATAATATGATGCAATAACTCTCTGATAAGTCTGATATGAAGTATAAAAGGGGCTACATTTGAGAAATCACAAATCTTTTGCATTCGTGAACGGATTTGATCACATTACAATTCAATATGGTGGACTTTTTTCCTGGAAATGCCAGCAACTTCGTTTTTTCAAATGAAACTACATGTCTCTTTAGAACATACATTAAGGAGAAAAATTACTCATCATTTTTGTATTTCGATGCGGTAACAAATTGAATACATTCAAAAATCAACAACCAGTTTTATGAATTTCCTTGCAGTTTGAATAATTTTTTAAGTGGGCTGTGGAAAACAACATTTCGTAGTCTAGCCATAAAGATTGCACCTGATTGCACGTGCTTTGACTTGTGAACTTGAATATGTAAAAATATACTGGGTGTTCAATTTGAAAAAAACAAGTTGCTGGCATTTCCAGAATAACTGGAAGTTAGCCATATTGTATTGTAATGTGATCAAATCCGAAATAGTTCCTTATACACAGTGTCCCTAAAAAGTGTGTACAAAATCTCAGCACATTGAAAAATGATTTTTTCAAAATGTACGAACATTTCTTATTGTATCACTTCAAAAATCTGTGGCCAGAGACTTTTTGGGATGTGAAACCGAATATGGACAATTTTACACTGTGGCCATCAGAGGGCGCTTACCAATGAACTTATGGTTTTGAATGGCAATGGTTTAGAATGGCAATAACTTTGTTCTCCGTGTAGTTTTCAACTTTTTTGTTGAGGAAATAATTTTGAATAATTTTAAGCAAAAAAGGTTCACCTGTGGAAATCCGTTACAGTAAGCTGTTTTCGAGATATTTAGGTTTTTAGTGTTCGCTGCCGCATCGGAATATTTAAATTATTTTGAATAAAACATGTTTGCTGTTATCTTCGTGGATGTAATTGGGTCAGTTGATGAGCATCATTTTTGATATTCACTACCCTGTATCTCGGAAATGGAGCAATCTAAATCAGCTTATTTTGACCTCAGAACTATGTGCTAATATTTTGTAAAAACCTTTGAGGGACACCCTTTATAACTGTTCGCAATTTCCGAAAAATCCATTCACGAATGCAGAAGTTAGAGGGATGGCCCGATACCCTGTATCACCCGGTACAGTATGTAGGTACACAAAAAATAACAGAAGTATATGAAATGATCAGTGGCGGATATAATATTTCTGGAGCACTAAGATTAATAATTCTTGGTGCCCCTGCGGTCGTTGCCTCATTTGTCCTTCTGTTTTTTTTCTAACCAATTTTTCAAATGATAATACCATCTACTTCTCTTTCCCAAATACAAATATTATCAAAACTTTTTCAACTACTATATTATGTAGGATATAAACGACCAAAACAACATAAATTAAAATTAAGATTATTATGACATTGACTAGGATCAAATACCTACAAAGTAAAATGTTTTTAAGTAAATACAGAAACTATACCATAATGAAATTACTAGGAGAACGATAGCACTAGTTATTTTCTGATTTTAAAATCTGTGAATTTGCACCATCATAAATCAAACTGTTAATTGTTTGTCAAATCACTTAAGATCGAAAAATATTCTCTATGATTGTAAGTAATCTTTTCTTCGTCATTACAGTTCTATATTTGCTTCTAATAAATTATTGTTTACTTTGAAAATAAACGCTCTGCCCCACAACAGGTCAAGGCAGTGTATATGAATAAATTAGGATGTACATCCATCATTCCCATACTATAATGTTTTTGAGCCATACATATAAAATAAGTATTGCTTAGAGGAAAACAATCATTTGTGTTATTGTTTCATTTATACAAATAAATTAAATGGGAAAATCATGATGCAAGGCCGAGGGGTAAATCACTGGGACAGTCCGGTGTACATTCTTTTGGCAGTCCGGGGCAGTCCGGTGGCAGTCCGTGGCAGTCCAGTGACAGTCCGTGGCAGTCCGGTGGCAGTCCGTGGCAGTCCGGTGGCAGTCCGTGGCAGTCCGGTGGCAGTCCGTGGCAGTCCGGTGGCAGTCCGGTGGCAGTCCGGTGGTAGTCCGGTGGTAGTCTGGTGGTCTCTCGTCTCGTCTCTCGTAATCCGACAATTATCACAAATGGAATTCTAAATTTGAAAATTCAAGAGGGCGTTCGCAAGGTGGCGGCGACTTTGTTATTTATTCTCTGATTTACCTGAAAATGTACACGTAGGGGTTCTCGAGATTGGCAATTTCGAATTTCGAGTCCAAATTTTAAAAAACAAGATGGCTTCTGTAGGGAGGCGTCAGTTTTTTTTTATCTCGTGGAGCGCACGAAAGGTAATTCCTATAATGGGGCAAAGAAATCAGTTATTCTTGGAGTAATCATGATTTTCGAGTTAGTTTTGAAATTCTAGATGGCGCCTATAATGGGACGAAAAACTTTGTCATTTATTGTCCGAATCGCCTGAATAAAAAAAGTTCACCTTGGGGATCTCAAGCTCCAGAGTTGATACCCTCGCAAATTTTGTGTATTATGGGCATACTGCAATTGCGCGCAGCGGTCAGTATTCTCAACAGTGTGTCCTAATCTCGGTCCTAACCCTCGTCCTTATCCCATAGTGCAATTGCACGCACGTCCCAAAAAAGGTATGCTGTAATTGAGCACAAAGTAGGAAACATTTAAAACGGTAGTTTTATCAAGTTTCATATGTTTTGAACTCATTCTAGAACATAAAATATAATCATTTCCGAAAAAGGAAGGAGACTTCTTTTTGCAAACAACCTAACCTAACTCGGCATGATATATAATATGAGGAAGAAAAATATTCTTTCTGCATAAGAAGGGAGACTAATTTTTCTTAACAATCTAACCTAGCTCGACCTAATATATAGATAATACGAAGAAGGAGAATATTCTTTCTGCATAAAAGAGGATACTACATTTTATTAACAATTTTGTATTTATACTGTATTCAACCAATAAGAATTTACAAAATTTCAATGAGAAAATAGATCTCAGAGCAGTACCTGTTTAAGAATTTATTTATCTATACCTGCCTCAATCCTTGTACATATCTGATTCACCATAATATATGTATAGACCTGTAACTCAAGTATTTCTGGAATGTTTTCAAAATTTGGAAAAACCGTAGAAATTAATGTTCAACGATATTGTTTACGTGTTATAAAAAATTATGTGGTTTAGAAATAACCCAATTACATCAGGAAAGAATATTTGTGGTGAATCACACTGTATTCTGTTGACAATAATTTTCAAGTATAAGAATCACGAATTTACATGCATTTCAATAAACACACTGTGTGGCATCTAGAATGATGTCAACGCTGTAGATTTTGAATCGTTAAATCAATTAATGATTATTATTATTTACCCATGAATCGGGCGAATCGAAAGAGAATGGATGTTGAAATCGTCCGCCATCTTATGGGACGCCATCTTCAATTCTCAAATGCGACTCAAAATGCGTATTTTTCAACCACGATTTGGTGACAAATTGATAAGGAAATGACAAAATCGTTTGAATTTGAATATTTAACTCGGAATTCTGATATCTCAAACTTTGAACCCCCAGAGTTTTTATTTGAGGCATTTTAGGGCGAATCTGAAATCCTCAAATACAATTCAAAATTCGTATTTACCGAGATATTAACGAACCAAGACAAATCCTGATTTGACCTTCCAAACGGAATAAACGAGATAAGTATATCAATTTTCAAATTTTCACTCAAAATTCGTATTGTTCAACCTCGAAAATTTTGTGCTGAACATTTCAGGCGAATCGACAGAAAAATAAAAACATCGACTTTCTGTACTATTGACGTGTATTTCCACTTCACCCATTGCACTGCAAAAAATATTTTCATTTCATGTAGATTTAACGAGATATGTTATGTTATATACAGGAATGTTATAGTTTTCGGATCAGTTTCTCATGCCATAGGTTTCCAATGAGATCTTCATATCGTAGGTCACGGTTGATGATTTATTTCTTCTATGTTAATCACCATCGGGGATGCATTTCTAGTACTTATTCAGTCAGAACGGTTTTCGTGAACTTTGTTCTTGTGGTGAATTGAAATTTCCAAAAAACAGCTTTATTTTTATTGGAACACATGATTGAGTGATAGTCCATTACATTTCGGTGGCAGTCCGTGGCAGTCCGGTGGCAGTCCGTGGCAGTCCGGTGGCAGTCCGTGGCAGTCCGGTGGCAGTCCGGTGGCAGTCCGTGACAGTCCGGTGGCAGTCTTGGCAGTCCGAGTATGAATGGCAGTCCGGTGTACACGAATTTGCTCAGTGATTTACCCCTCGTGCAAGGCCAGGATCCCTGCAAGAGTCGGGGCCCTAAGCTCAAGCATAATAAACGTACTTTTAAATCTGATATGGAAAATAATAATACAAAGAATGAAAAAAAGATAGTAAAGAAATATTACAATTATAGATGAAGAAACCAAAGTCATCTCAACAACATTGTGGAGATGACTTTGTATTTCTTCATCTATGAAATATACCACTCCACTTTGAGTTACCATGGACTTCTTCCAAAGATTAAATATCACAATGTTGGTTAAATATTACTATTGAATGCTAGGTTCCTCTTTGTCGTTGAAAGGCGACAGGTCAACCACTCCAGAAAACCGCAAAAAACTGAAGCACAGGTACAAACAGAACGACAACCTGCCCAGCCCAGTCGACCAGCTGGGCACGTGGACGGAAACCATCCCCCTGACCCAAAACACCAAGGAATCCGTGATGGGCCCTCTGGAATCCTTCCTGCGCTCCATAAACTGCTACCCCGAGCAGGACAACAACAGGAAGAAGGAGGCTGCCAAAAGCAGGCCGAGGTTTCCGCTTTTGCAGCCCACTTCGCCTCCGCCTTTGAGCGAAAGCGTGGACTGCTTGCAGCCTTCGAGTTCGAGCGCTTTCAGCTGGACGCCATCTTTGTTGGCGCAGCGGCGCAACAATAAGCCGGCTAGGGGTAATGAGGGCTCTTTGCCAGAAAGGGAGGAGAACGATTGTAGTGGTGATCAGCCTCATTCTGCTTAGATGTGGAAATTATTGCTATTTTTCTTTGTGAAAAGTGACTCAGGAAAAGTGGTGCAATCGTTTTGATATTGGAAGAAATTTTCTTATTGAAGTTGATTCATAAAACGAGCAGTGGAAGTTCGGGAAAGTCTCTTGAATCAGAAAATTGTCAAAGTTATCTCTGAAAATGTCGGTGGAAGTAAAAATGAATGAATTTCAGAAGGCGAAGACGGATTTTTGGTACTTTTTAATTGGATCTCAGACTAGTCAGTTCAGATTAATTCAGTGAGTTTTAGCTTTGCTTCATAAGCTATTTCAATTTGTATTATACATATAACCTCAAAGGTTGAAGTAAGTAAGAGATGCGCGTTCTAGTGTTTTGAAGTTTGAAAATTGTGAACAAAATATATCTGGAAGCATTAACCGGACTTTTATGAACAAGAATTCGAAGTATAACTTCAATAACACAGTTATATGAATCGCCACAAGTACTAGAATATTTTGAATTGACTCGGCCATTACTTGATGGAAATCCATGGCAAATGTAAAAACTTCTCAAACGATAAGATTTCCACAAAATTCTCAAACACGACATGTTTCGCTAACACAGTAGCTTCGTCAGGTGATATACTGGTACAATGAACTCTTCAGTTCAGTACTAGAAGAATTGGTTTTGATTGTTATTTGGATCTCAGACTAATCAGTTCAGTGAGTTTTCATCTTTGACTCCAACGAGATGTCCTACGCTTCAGCTAACCAAGTCATAGAATACTATTACATTTTCCACTTCTCTAATTGTGAAGGTAACTTCTGTGAGAATAGTATTATTTCATTGTTCATAAGTTATCTCAATTTGTATTATACATATAACCTCAAAGGTTAAAGTAAGTGAGAGATGCGCGTCCTAGTGTTTTCAAGATTGAAAATTGTGAACAAAACTTATCTAGAAGCATTAACCGGACTTTGATGAACAAGAATTCAAAGTATCAAATCAAAATCGCAGTTTGATGAATCTTCACAAGTACAGGGTGCGCCTCTTAAAATGGAACCACCCCTTAACTCTTTTATTTTCAGAAATGTGAACAAATTTTGGTTCAAAAAGTCGTTTGAAACGATTCAAACTTTAATTTCGTGAAGTTGCTCCATATACAGGGTCATTCGTTTTTCCGGAAAGGACATTAACTTTGATTTTTTCAATGGATCACCCTATATATTTTCTGACATGTCGATGGAGCCTTTGTTTCTGATTTCAAAAATATATATGAGTTGCATATTTGGATGAGAATCATTTGAGTTATTGATTATCAAAGTTGACCAAAATACGGAATCTTCCATTGAAACTGTCAATTCATATTTTTTTTATATTTAGATTGAACGATTTCAATTTCATAATAAATGATACTATGACATTTCCACGGAGGTTGAACAATATATCAACGTTATTTCAAAACCCACTATATTCAACTTACATTAGATGATATTAAAAATAAGTGAAGGTTCATAATGCGGTATTTTGGTAAATTTTGATAATCAATGACTCAACAATTTTTCATCCAAATATGCAACTCATATATATTTTTGAAATAAGAAGGAAAGGCTCTATCGACATGTCGTAAATTATATAGGGTGTTCAATTGGAAAAATCAAAGTTTATGTCTTTTCTGAAAAAACGAATGACCCTGTACATGGAACAACTTCACAAAATAAAAGTTTAGTTTGTTTGACACAACTTTTTCATATAAAATATTTTCATATCTTTGAGAACGAAAGAGTTAAGGGGGGATTCCATTTTAAGAGGCGTACCCTGTACTAGCAGAATTGGTTTTGATCGTGATACGATATTTTGTAATAAATAGTTGGGGAGCATGAGGATCATATTGAATCATTGAAATTGCCGATATTTAACAACTCCTGGTCATATCAGATGTTGGCAAGTATTTGCCTGTCCAGAAACAAAATGGACAATGAACGAAAAAGTCTTCTGAATTTCACAAAGGAATCCGTCATGGGACCTCTGGATACCTTCCTGCGCTAGATAGGTCAAAGTTTTGCCAAGGTTTCCGCTGTTGCAGCCCTCGAGTTCGAGCGCTTTCAGCTGGACGCCATCTTTGTTGGCGCAGCGGCGCAACCATAAGCCGGCAAGATGCAAGGAGGGTTCTTTCCCTAAAAGAGAACAGAACGATTGTAGTGGTGATCAGCCTCATTCTTCTTAAATGTGGAAATTATTTTTTTTTGTGAAAAATGACTCAGGAAATGTGATGCAATATTTTCAATAATATTGTTATTGAAACAATATTGTATAATTTTCAAGTACAGCTTGAAGTTGATTGATGAGACAAGCAGTGGAAGTTTGAGAAAGTCTCTTGAATCAGTGGAAGTAACAATGCATCACAGAATGCTAAGACGGATATTAGAGCTAAATTATATTTCAGACTAGTCAGTTCAATTTCAGACAGTGTCGATGATATTTAAGATTAATTTAGTGGGTTGCTTCATCATTAACTGTAACAAGATGTTTTATGCTTGTGCTAGCCAAGTCATGAAATACCATCCAATGTTTGACTACTCTAATCATTAAGGCAGTTTCTGTGAGCATGCAACTTTCTTGGTGTTCACAATCTATTTGTGTTTTATACAACTTCAAACGTTAAAAAATGAAAGATGCGTGTCCTAGTGTTGCCAAGTTATAGCATTGCTAACAAAATTTATCTGGAAGCATTAATTAGACTTTGATGAACAAGAATTCAATGTATCAGTTCAAGAATGCAGTTTTATGGATCTTCGCCAGTACTAGAAGAATTGATATTGATCGTGGTGCCATATTTTGTAATAAAGATTTGAGAATATTGAAAGACAGAATTGACATGACACTAAAAACTATTAGGGTAGGTACCATTAAAATTGTCCGACAACGAAAGAGGACAAATAAGTGACATTTGTGGGAGTGACAGTTCATTGTTTGAAAAGGAAGATAATGATTCTAACGGTGTTCAGAAATCAATTAGATTTCGAACCTAACCTCAAATGTTGAAGCCAAGGAAAGATGCGTATTATAAGGTTTTTCTGAGTGAAAAATGTTCTACAAAAATTATCTCGAAGCATCAAAAGGAATTCTCTATTCTCTGTATCAGTTGAATATCTTACATACTATATTGACTCTAGTAGAAAATTGTATTTCTCAAAGTACCTCTTACTGTCTCGACCATATTTCCTGTAAGAATTTTGAACTTCGTTGAACATATTCACGTGTTCACTATCTACTTTTGAGTGAAGTAAGTGACAATATATTTAAAAATACCATGTTGGATTCTGGAACCTTTCAATTACATCAAAGAGTAGTCATTTAAATTCCAGAAAGCGTCAATGACATTTCAGATTGATTTGGTTGGTTCCTCTATTATTAACTCCAGCAACACGTTTTAAACTTGTGCTTAAATTTAGCTGATATACGACCGTAGAAGATGAAAGCAGAACAAAAATATCTAGATCATAAGGTATGAGTTGATACCCCAAAGTTGGCCCAAATCTGAAAGAATAATATATGCAGATATGCTAGCTCCAACTACCCCATAGAGCAGAGACCATTGAAAGAAACTAATATATCCACCTTGGGTATGACTTGAGGAGGTGTGACTGACTTTTCTGGGCTGAACATTGTCTACATAGGTGAGGACTTTAGAATGTGATTGCTATACCTAGTGATATCTTATTTTTAATATAAATTGTCTCCACATTATTATGCTTTGGAGTAGCTACTTATTTATTTTTGTACACCCTAAAGACAAATATTTCCGGTGTTACATTTAACGATATTGTTTTAATTGAATTTTTAATTTCATTAATTTTTTTCCTATTTTTGATATATAATTTAAAATTACTACTAAGTACCTATGCAAATTACTAATAATTAATTATTACTAATACCATCGAATTCCACTAAACGTATTTGATGTCAGTAAGTGTTGTTATGTATATTCATCAATATTAGGAAACAGATTATTTTATGCCCTTGTCAAAATTTCATTACCACTTTTCGTTTCGAAAATGATATTTTTGAGCACGTTTTTATGAAAAAAATCAAACCAATAAATGTCTATTCACAATAATATTATCTGATATCTACTCTCTAGTTGTAATTTATCGTAATTTATGACACTGGCATCCAGAAATGAAAAATTACCTCAAGCAAAGCTTGTCAAGGAGCTGTTTTTTTAGGTCTTGTTATATAAAATGCTGATTTGACAGTGGGTGACGGTCGATGGTACCTTAGAGGATATCATTCTGAACATTTTCATACTCAAGTAGTTGCTCTTGGATTAATGCAGCGTTGCCGCTTATACCAGAAAGTAGTAGCAACTTTGATATTTCATACGGAACACCCTGTATTTTATTGCAATCTTATATTCTTCCTGAAGAGCTGATTTCATCAATGAATCACACTTGGGTCTAGCGGTAATGATTGCAGAGATAAAGGGTGTTCTAAATCGAGATTTTACAACTTTAGGAATTTGTTGTGTCGAAACTATTCATTTTCGGTTAAAACGGCCCTCATGTCCCTATCTCAACTTTTAATTTACTATCTACTGACATCTAATTGAGAAAAATACAGGGTGATTCAAGATTCAGAATTCTGATCAGTGTTCAGTTTGAAATCTCAAAGTTGCTGCTACTTCCTGGTATACGCGGCAACACTGCATTGCTGAAAATATTTTAGATATATAGACCAAGACAAAAGAGCAACTACTTGAGTAACCAAATTTTCAGAATGATCATATTATGTCCTGTTCTCCGTAAACGTCCGAGGTACCATCGTCCGTGACCCACCCTGTACTTATACCTGATTTATGGTGTCAAATATTTCAATGTTTTCCATGAAAACCCATTGATTGTGAACTATTATTATGATGAATATAATCATTTCCAGATGAGTCTACAACTATTGGGATAATTGATGTTTTTAATAATTCAGTGATTTAGTGATAATGATATATGATGGAAATAAATTGTTCAGAATTGATCTGTATTTTGTATTATCTCTACCTCGTTTCTTTATTTTTTTTTGTTATTCATTTTTATCAGAATGATAATAATGAATTGTATACCGGTTGTCTGAATGAGGTGCTTCTCCCCTGTTACTTTTTCGAAAATAGAAATCACCCTTATAAAATCCACATATTTACAACAGATTCCTAATTTTTTTCCAGCAGAAAGAGTAGTGACACATATTTTCAAAAACTATTCCATCACTTTGCTGTTTTATGTAGCATGGAGTGACATTTTCACCACCACTCTTTAAATGATTGTTTTTTCTGTGACGGGAAAAAAGTTTGGTATTTCATCCCTGTTGGCAGGTTATAAAATGTCACTTTTCATAAATTACTTTTTTCCCGTGGGAAAAAAGTGAGTACTTCTTTCCCGGATATATATCACATATATATACTCTGTTAATGGCTTTTGTTGTGCTATAGTTCCGAAAAATGAGTCAATAATACCGTCTCCGAGAAAGAACTGCAAGTCCTTTTATCTTCCATTCGACTTCGCGGTTTCGTATATTACTAAACAACTACTGAATTCGCAATTTTTTAAAATCAAATCGCAGAATTGAACTGACAGAAGTGACATCAGATATTTGATTACTTCAAAAGAATGACGAAGATGCCTATAACACGCAGGTGTCCCTACTGTTAAAAACTTGAAATTTCACGTCGAAAATTTTCAGATTTCGAAATAATGTAATATCTTCTCAATATTGATTCGTCCTTCCTTCTGTCACAGAAAAAAATAGTGTATTATACACGGGAAAAATATTAGATTTTAGCTCACGGTTTTTTGTCTCCCTCCGCTACGCGTCGGGAGACAACACAACCTGGAGCTAAAATCTACTACTTTTTTCCCTTGTATAATAAATAACTAAATTTATACATCATGGGAGTAAAATAGGCTTTTTTGGACCGTATCGTGTAATTAAAGTAATCGCTGAGCTACGCCCGAAATACATAAATACATTTAATGCACGACCGGTACTTTTCATTCACGCAATAATTTAGTTTGGGAAGTGTCATTTTCCGCAGTAGTGTGGGAAAAGTTTTCCCACACTAGTGCAGGAAAAACATTTATAAAAAAATCTCGCAAAATATGGGTGGTGGGTGACAATATAAAAATTTTAGGTTTTTTGTTGCAGTATTCAGTAAGTTTGTATAAAATCATCCATTAAATTGCACTATTCATTGTGAAAATGAAGAAATATTGAAAAATAATAATTGATTTTTATATAAATCCCCTTATATAAAGTGTAATCCTCAGAGTGACAGACAGAGCGTTACTATCATTTCCGATTCAGTGGAATTGCGATAAAACACTTCCAGCTACAGATGCGATACAGATGCCAACGAAGAAAGAGGGAGTATTTTTGGCTCATTTCCTAGAAATGTCTGAAACCTAGAGGCCAAACACCATGGGCATGCTGGCTTCCGCAATAAGCTTACCTACATGATGCTTCAAACGGTACACACAATAGATATATCACTGATTATTAGAATATAGAGAATATATAACTATTGTTAGTTGTTCCTAGTACTAGTAGGAATGATTGATTGAACAAATCAATCAATTTCCTACGCTTGTAGAAAAAAAATATGGTTCCAAACTCATGCGGAAAGTGTCTTTCCCCCACTCGACTGCTTGACCGAACTCGGCTTCGCGTCGTTCGGGTCAACGGCATTCGGGTGCGGGAAAGTATCACTTTCCGCACTTGTTAGGAAAATTACTATTCTCTCAAGCACGATAGAAATATATCATATGGTTGAAGTGGATAAGAGTATCATCGATGAAATTAACGTTACCATCGTAACTCGATCAATTTATCGAAATAGCAGTAGACTATTATTGGCTGTCTATCTGTCA